TTTTCAACCACAAGGTGGCCTTCTGTGTGTAGAGGTCCAACGTTTCTCACCCACTGAAATCCTAAACTCAAGAGTGAAGGTAAGCATGGGGGCTCGGGCTTGGGCATGAACATGCCCATCACCCGCCCGCTCGAGTCTACATCTGCCCGAGCCTAATCTTCGCTTCCTCTGACCCAGCTGCCGACCGCTCGGAGTGGCTGACGGATTCTTCTGAGATCAGACGACCTCCTCCAGGCAGTTCAGAGTCAGAGATACGTGACCCGTACGCATTGTCTATGTTTTTAAAAATGTACAAGTCCCCCCCCCCCAAGGCCCCGGGAAGGCTTCCAGTCATGTACCATCAGGGCGACCGTCCCCACCGGCCTAGACTTCACCCCCAGCAGTTCAGAACCTTCCCATTACGAAGCTGTTGATAATGTCTGGGTCCCCAGAGGAAAACTGGAGGGACGGAGAGAAATAAAAGCAACAAAAGGACAGACGACAGGTCCTTTCTCCCACTGAGGACAATCAACTTCCAAGCTTTCAGGGAACGCCATGAAGGAAACAGCAGAGTGCCCTAAATCTCGGCCAAGACCAGATATTTAGAAACATCAATATTTTTTATTGCACGTCAGCGTGTCAGACGAGCACAGCGTATGGCTTAGGCTACAGGCTGACCGAGAATATCAGCCTCAACTCTCCCTCCCGCGTCAGCACACAGCAGCCGGAATCTCTCACGGGTAAGCCCTTATCTTCCCTGAGGGCGATATTCCCAAGGCCACTGAACTAGGGTTAGTCTCCTTAGCTCTGTTACTCTGTTTCTGGCCTGTTGCACGCTGATGACAGGTGTTTTCAATGCTACGTTCTTGTCCAAGATAAGAGTTAATTACTTTGCATGAGCATAGAAACTTTACAGGAAGCATGTCAAACTCACAGCCAGCAGGCCGCATGCCGGCCGCGAGTTTGACATACTTGCCTGACAGAGCCAAGACGGATGAGCAGATGCGTGGACAAAGCAGAGAAAAAGCAGCTTAAAGTTTAATGGAAAATAGTAAAGCAACTGTCAAGGGACTGTCCGGAAAACGTTGAAGAAGAGCGAGAGAAGTTGAAAAGGGACATTAAAAAACTGTTTAACTGTCACTTACCCTCAGTTCTTCCTTTGTACTGAAACTGTCAAGAAGCTGTTGATAATGCCTGTCTGTCATTTGTCGTAACAGGGACAGGAGACAAGCAACAAACTCCCCCTAATTAAAACACAAACAGACAAGCATGTTTTTCAATAAGACATAGACCCATCAGTGACTTGCTTTGAACTACCCTAAAATAGACAATTGAAAAAAAAAACACCCACTATGACCCAAACTCCCTCTATGAAGTCTTCTTACTCTAAATTCACCATAATGTCACAGTCAAAGTCTCTCCCCAGAGAACCATTTCCTTGTTGTTCATGAATTTCTAAATTCAGAGTGGGAATTCCTCACTGGGGGTGAAGGCTTCTCACTAGGGAAGTAACTGCACACACGCAAGGAGGCGTGACAACGAGGCCCCTAACCGTTTAT